GGTGGTACAAGAGCTTTTTGCGTCGAAATCCTTCTTTAACTGAAAGGCAGACAGAAGCAGTAACATCGGCAAGTGCCAACGTTAGTGAAAATAATATACGAGGTAGGTTTGCAAAAATTGAAGCTTATTTAAGAGATGAAGAACTGTTGGATATTTTTTAAGACCCGAAAAGAATTTTTAACAGTGATGAAACCAACTCTCATTTGATGTGTGATTCTATTTGTAGATGGACACACCACACACCTTTCTTTACAAGTTAGTCAATCGTGTAAAAAGTTAAATATAATCCTGATAGCTCTTTACCCTAACGCAACGCGAATCTTACAGCCGGCGGATGTTTCCGCTTTCAAACCCTTAAAGACAATATGGAAGAAGGGGGTAATCGATTGGAGAACAGAACATCCCACCGAATCATTATCCAGAGAAAAATTGGCACTAATTCTAGAAAAAAATTTACCAAAATTAAAATTTGACTCCATCGCCAATGGTTTTCGTGTATGTGGGTTGTTCCCTTGGAATCCCGACGCTGTGGATTACTCAAAGTGCTTAGGGAAAAACAATGTTTTACTTAACACATGTGAAAGTAGTAAAGTATTCACCGAAAAAACTCTTAACTATTAAAAGTTTAAGCAAGTGGTGGGGCAATAAAAGCTAGTTCAGTTTAAAACAAATCATGTCACATACGAGAACAACGATTCTGAAATTTTGTACAAATTATATAATTTTTTTGAAAATCAAGAAATTAACAACATGGTAGACATGTCTAATGAAATAAGCCAAAATGTGGGGCAAGTGACGATCTTAAAACATCATCACTTAGACAACAACATAGAAATTCTTGAAACAAAAAATTTCGTACAAAAAAATAACACTCCGTTGATGAAACAATATCTTACCTGGCCAATTTCACCACAGCGAAAAGGAAGTAAAAATTCGGAAAAGTTGCCATTTGTACTTACATCAGACCAATGGCAAAACATACAAACTGAAAAAATCGTCAAAAGGAAAAGGAAGAAGAAGCAAAGCAAGAAATGAAAAAGAAGAGGTCAGAACTAGCTAAAGCTAAAAAAGCGAGGACAACTAAGGTAAGGGAACCTAAAAATAGCAAGAAAATAAAAATTATTTCTGACGAAAAAGTATCATATGTCACCAGACAATTACAAAACGAAACAAAATTGGATGAGACAGTGTTTTCTTTGCACTTTCAACATTACCCCATTGTAATGGCATTAAATGTTTCTATTGTACCCGGAAATACCATTTAACTTGTTCAAGGAAGCATTTCAATATGCCACCAAATGTGAAAACATTCGTTTGTAATGCCTGTAACACAAATTTAAATAAATAATTTTGTCAAACGTTGTCAACCTTTGCCACTTTATGTGCCAATAACTGTATGATCAAGAGCCAATAATACTACCCGAAGTGCCAATAACTGCGATAATTTAGTATTTCAAGTTCAAGATTTATTTAAAAAAAAAGGATTTTGTTTAGATAGTTTTATTCCTAAATCTTTTGTGCAATATATAGTGCTATGGAGGTCGCTATAAATTATTATTTTAAATTTTAGATCATAGAAATAGAAACTGATGTTGCTTAAAGTGCCAATAACTATATAGTTTACCCTACTTGAATGGCATAGAAATGGCACAATTCCGCGAGGGTCCTGGACAGTTACACACTACAGTGCTGCAAATTGCTTATCTGAAGGGGCAGGATTCAAATTACAAAACCGCATTGCTGCCAATATGCAGGCGTCGCCTCGCCTGCTGAATAAATAAAAGGGCTTTAGAACATAGGTAGCTGGCACAACTAATTGCCGTTTTTTCCGCCCCGCTATCCTGAGGGTTTTTTTTAATTAAATTCCCCCGCGGTACCAATGGACTGGCCACTGTACGTTCCAGTGTGTTTCTGTTTTCCTAAAGCAACTTAAAACCAAGTAGACACAATTTTCCCAATCAAAATCTTGTAAAACAAGTTTTCGCGGGTTTGTAAAAATTTGAGCCGTTTAGTATGATGTAACGGTGTCACACCCAATCGATGGATGCCTATAAAAAGTCGCTCCTTTGTTCACTTCGGCGCGAAATAACACCGTTGACATGATAAATTTCTTAAGTTTTATCTCGCAAGAGCACATAAAAAGTTTAGTGGCGAAAAATGGGATATTTTGTATGAGGACGTCGTGCGCGCACAGTTTACGACCCACTAAAACCTCCATGCACCCAAGTAGTGTCGGCTAATGGGAATTTAAAACGCTAATTTACATTGTAGGCACCTTTTAGTTGTGTTTGTCAACTGGGCTCGTAAATATGCTGTGCATTATTAAGGCGGCAAATTTTCCAGCTTTTTGTCAAAACGGGTTCCACCTAGATGCAGTCACTGCTTATTAAAAGTCCGATACTGTGCAGTGGAGCGGCGAATTGGACTTTGGAAAACTTCCCCAACTCCCGCCAGTCTCCAAACTTATTCGCTCCACTCCTGGAAAGTTATGGGGCGTTTTTCGCCCCACTATTGCAACGTGCATGGAATACATTTATGTATTCGAAATCTTTGGCCTAGTAATGCGGCTCATTACTGATTTTGACATCCTTGAGGGCGCCCCAAGCCTCGATTGTCTTTGAAGCGACGCTCATTTTCCCCGCCAAGATCAACTGAAACCGGAAACTGTAAATATTTGTCTGTAAATTGTTACACATCCGCATATAAATCCCGCCAACAGCCCCACATCGCTCGGCTTAAACAGAGTTGGCAAATGTTTACCTTGTTTTCCTTATTTACGCCATTATTTAAACCTGATATGAAAGTTGTTTCGAAACGATGGCTATTCAAATGAGTCGATTCTCTTTTGGGACTTTTTCTGATTTATTTTCGGCGAACTGATGGTACGAAATTGGCTCAAAATTGGGAATGTTAATCGGATGAAGTTGCTTGCGATGCGTTTAAAAATTCGGAAAAATAACACCTGATCAGAACCGCAGGAAAAGCAACAAAAACTTTACAAAAACTATGAGAACGAAGAGGAAACTGAATGGCATTCTGATGCTTCGTCTGAAAAACATGAAAGGAAAAACCTTTCATTACTCAGAAAAATTATTGTTAACAAATTCCGACGAAATCGAATTTGAACTGACTTTTTTATGAACAAACAAAAAAGTGGAAGAACATTTTATCTTCCACCAGTTCCTGATTTTGTCACTATATCCAAAATAAACATCAAGATGATGTTCCAAAATCCTGTTAACTGTGGCGCAGCAAAACTGTTATTATTTTTTTAACTTAAATTTAGTTTGAAGATAAAGTAGATTTTTTCATGCAACTGGTCTTGTTTTTTCAATTAAGTTTATTAACACAAAAAAAAATATTATTAAAATCGCTCATCTGCGATAGTGTCGCACTGTTCCAATGGGACACAACAAGTTTTGTACATATTTCCTATTTTAACATTAATTGTTATTTTGTACCTTAAACCCGATATAAAATACAACTTATTTTCTATTATTTGCAGAGTACTAAACTCATAAAAATTATGTGGCTCATTGTTGCTCATATTTTCCTATTTTGGTGACGCAGGAATTTAAAATATCTATTCCTGTGGAGAAAATATTTTGTACGTTTCCTTATTAAATTATTTAGTTTCATCTGTTGTAAAAAATTTCAGCCGATATCCGAGGCACTTTGATTTTTAAACAATTTTTATAAATGACTTCTAAAAGCTGAATTTTTCGATTTTGAATTCTCCCCAAGTCGAAGAAAGTTGGGCGGAATTTACAGAATTTTTTTGGGCTGCATTTGCCTTCAAAATGATATAAAAAACACAATATCTCGGAAAATAAACGAAGCAGAAAGTTTCCGAGCACAGCACTGCATAGAAAAGCGGAAAATCCATGTAAAACTTGCAATTCGCTTCTTTGCTAAAGTGCAAGATAAGCAACCTACAAAGCAATTTTTTATTTTGCGTGTAAAATTCCAACTTTTTTAAGTGTATAAATTTTGGAAAAATGTTCTTAAATGTCAATTTTGATTTGAAGAGCCGCATAGAGTCAATTTTGCCAAAAAAAGTCAAATATTTGAATAAATAACGGATTTTTCAAAATATTTTCATACCTGATGCGTGTATGATACACACGTTGCTTTATGCGCTGTTAAATGAGAATCTGCTTGCTTTGAAGTTCAAATGGGCTCATTTGGAGGCAAGGAATCGCTGAAAATGCTTTAAAAAATTGGAATTTGGAAACGATCTGGCGGTTTAATTGAACTTTAAAATTTCAGACCCCTTAAAGCCCTGTGCAAGGTTTGTCTCGTTTCTTCCATAGTTCATTCAAATACATTTTTTAGACTAAGTGAAACTGGGATGTTGCCCAGCTCGTACACTTGAAACTTTCCCGCAAAAAAATGGGAAAATCAGTTGAATTTTTCGTCCAGAATTTTTACCTCCAAAGCTTAGGATTTAAGGCTCATTTATAAAAGTTATTATTTATAAAATGTTTAGAAAGTCAAACAGCAGGCGATCAGATTGATTATTACAGAGATAAAATTTTATGAAATTTTAATTCTCCTTTGCTAAGTCTAAAATAGTAAATTTTTTAATTTTTTTTTTAAATCATGATTTTGTTAAATAATGGATTTACAAAAACATTTTCATAACTAGTGTGTATATGATACACACTTTACTTTGCACGCGAAATTAATAAATTTGTTGCCTTTGAGATCAGAATAGGCTCATTTGGTGCACAGAATCGGTGAAAATGCTCTTGAACGGCCCAAAACAGAGTAATTCTGAACCCATTTAAAGCCGATTTTATTGTACTTTAAAAATTCAAAACCCTGAAAAGCCTGTTCAAGGTTTCTCTAGTTTATTTCATGGTTCATTTCGTTCAAAAAATTTCGGAGAAATCAAAGTTCGATTTTTCATCCAAAAATTTTTTTGCGTTCAACTTCGACTTGCTATAATTTTGCGGTATAACTATGTTTAGAAGAAATTTCTTGCTTCTAAGGTCAGAATAGGTCATTTCGTGACAGGGAATCGCTAAAGAAGCTCTTGAACAACGTTTTGGGTAAATTTAAGTCAATTTCGAGCCGATTTGACGGTTTTATTGAACTTTTTCATTTCATTTCATAGGCCTGCTCATGGCTTCTCTAGTTTTTCCATAGTTGATTTAAATAATTTTTATTAGACCAAATGAAACTTGGATGTTGAGATGCAGAATATTTAGGGGATTTTTTCGAGTCAAACGGCATTTACGGAAATAATATCAGCAGAGAGATTTTAAAAAACAGGCAATACATTTTTCCATTTTGGACACTAAATTGAAATTTTTTTGAAATTTTAAAAATTGGATGGAATCATCACAAATGATTTAATTTTGTAAGTTTCAAATCAATTTTCATTTTGAAAAAATTGAGTAAACAACCAGTTTACAAGCACCTTTTCATAACTGGTCTGTGTATGACACACACGCTACTTTGCATATTTTTTCAGCAATGTTGTTTATGGGGTTTGAATTCTAATAAAACTCTATATCGACGAGCTAGAAATCTATAAAAAAATTACAATTCGCCATTTTGCTAGATTTTTGGAAATTCTCAAATTTTCCGAAAATTTACTTCAAATATCAATGTTTGTTTTGAAAATCCTGCTAAAGCCAACTTTTTCCGAAAAGTCAACAATTTTCCCAAAAAAGTCAGGTGTTTTCGCAAACTTTTCATAATTCATCTGCATATGACACACATTTCTTTACATGGCTTTACATTTTCTCGCTTTCGATTTCATAATAGGCTTATTTGGTATGGACTACCTTAAGACGCTCGCGAATAATGTTTTAGGTAAATTTTGGAACAATTTGAAGACGATTTGGCTGTCCAATTCGTTCAATGTAATTTGCAATTTTCCCTTATGCATTTTTAACTGATGACTGAAAAATGCATTCGTTCACCTTTTCTAAAACTTATTAATAGCTTCCAGCGCACTTTAATATAACTATTAATAATTATTGGTATTAAATTTTAATTTCCATTGCTCCGCCTGCTCAGCACGTGGCGCTCAGAATAATGAGAATTTACGTATGGCGAGGTGGAGTGTTCGAACTTTCTAGTTGGCCCGACCGGAGCATTTCTGAGCGATTAGCGTGCCGGCAATCGACTGAGGTTTATCGGCTATTTAATTTTTCGCCAACCAACTTCGGTAATCGTGCTCAAACAATTTCAGCACTGAAGAAGATAAATGACCTTTGGCTTTTGCGCCTGTTAAAATCCTGGAATCCCTTTCGATCGGGGCCTTTTTGCCTTTAGGCCCCCCGATCCCGCACTGATTGGGTCGAAACCTGAAAATCACCAGCTTTTCTTCCAGGCTCAACTTGTTATCTTCCCGTCCAAATATGGCGCATTCATAAAACTTCCTGCAAGTCGTTCCAAACGCACGTTAAATTGAAATTGCAGTTATAAGCCCAGCTGCAGCTGGGCAACAATGTTGACATCTCTTCGAAAATCCTGGCCGAAAAATAATATCGTTTATTTTGCACAACTTAACACCACATGAAGCAGTCAACAATTAGCCGGCCTGTTCAAAGAACTGGGAAGTTACTGTAGGTCCGAAGGGCAAGAAGTCTGCAGTTGCGAGAAATCACAGGAGGCACAGTTTGTGGCTCGTAATACAATAATTTCTGCACGAACCGTCAGGAAAGTACTTTAAGAGAGAGGATTGAACAGTAGAAGATCAGCGATTGCACCACTGCTCAGAAAAGTAAGTCTTAATTCACCAAATGGAAAGTTTTATGGGATCAATAATGTTCTGGGCAGAAATTTTCTTCGATAGTCACACGCATCTGGACCCAATGTGGAGGAGATAAATGCACATTTTCACATGGACTGCGTTTTATGTGGTCTCAAAGCAAAAAAATGCGAGCTAAAGTGCATGTAAAACCTTGTCCCCCATTTAATATTGAGCAGAATCACCCTGTATGCCAACATCGCACGTTGCCCAAAGCCTATTAACATTAATATTGCCCACATTGGCCATTATATGTGCGTGTTACGATTTGCCCGGATGATATGATAGAATAGGTGTTTATTTTATTAATCTGACGCCGGGCTGCGCCCCCGAGGCCTGGTCGAGATAACCCGCTCGGGAACACGTAGGACGGCCACGTTCTCGTTAATTACAATACATGTTTGCCTCTGTACACGCATTGTGCACAGTTTTATTGCAATAGAGGCGCAATATCTCCATCAAAGCGTAGATCAATCATGGGGCGAGCGAGAAAATCGCGGCCAACTTCCCGAGCGCGCCCCATATCTTTTAAATTTAAAGTTTGCCAGGTCGGACAAAATGTTCCAGGCGCAACTAGTTACTAAATTAGCGGCCTGGGAGAATAAAATTGCCAAGTGTAATTTGTCTTCTTCAGTCGCTGGAACAGATTAGGCAGCAGTTTTCCCAGCGAAATCGAAAGTGGGATTTAACTTCGAGCTGCGAATAAATCAGCGGGGGAGATGCTAATGTCCTGGAACGTTTAGGACCGTTGCCATTAATTAAAAACTACATTGTTTCGCATTTGTATTCCGTTCAAACTACTTAAAAACACTCTCCGGCTGCAGTCCAACGCACGTTTGCAATTGTCGAAATAGACTATTTTAGCTAAACCTATAGGTCTTCCCCTTTTGGCTTTTGCTAATGAAAAATTACCCGAAGATTATCCGTTTCTTAACACTTTTTCTTAGTAACATTTCTGGTAAAAATACCGATTTCAGCCAAGATTGAAGAAAATTGTTGCACAAAACCTCAACGCGCGCAAAAATTCGTTGTTCATTTGCCCCAATTCTGCAGTTTTTGACGTCAACTGTTAGCGATGGAGTGTGTTATTATCGTGATGGTAATCAATATGGTGGAGCAGCCAAATTATGGAAAAAACAGGCTAAAATAATGGGGAACTCGTGCTAGATTTCAGTGGGGGTAAAAATCTAGTTTTAGGTACCCGAAAATAACACGCACACAATTATAAAATCTATCGTTGAATTGAAATGATAACTTGTAAAAACTCACAGAAACTGCTAGCGCTCGTCACCTAATAAAATCAATGAAAAAAATCAGAAGAAAAAGAGAGAGTCAAAAAAGAGTAGAAAATAGTTGGGCTCAAACTTTAAAGTAAAACAAACAGCCAAATAGCGTTCAAATTGACCCAAATTTACCTAAAACATTATTCGTGAACAACTTTCGGTATTCCATGATAAATGAGCCTATTATGAAATCGAAAGCCATAAATTTTCAATTTAATGCCATGTAAAGAAACGTGTGTGTCATACACAGACCAATTATGAAAAGTTGCCGGAAACCCCGCTTTTTGGTCAAGTTGTTGACTGTTCTGGCAAAACCAACCTTTTTGGGCTTTTCAAGAGTTATAGTTCATAAGTTAGTTGATATTCGATATGAATTTTCGCACAATTTGAAAAATTCAAAAAATCTTGTTTCACCAGTCATAACTCGTTTTTCTTTCATTGTAGCAGAAAGCTGCATTATCATTTTTTACAGATTTTAGCTCGTCTATGCAGTGGCGTGCTCGGAAAGTCGAATCGGTTGTATTTTCCGCTATATTGAAAATTTTTAAAAAAACACGTAAAGTAAAGTGTGTATCATACACAAGCCAGTGGTGAAAAGGAGCGTGTAAATCCGTTATTTGGTAAAATTTCTAACTTTTTTCTGGAAAATTGACTCTTTTACACTTTTAAAAATCAAAGAAAGGTCTAGGTTATAACCTCAAAAATTGATTTGATTTGATTTGATTTGATATAGCAATTTCCTGAGGTTGAGCCCGAAAAAATGTTTCTACAAAAAATTTAACTTGATTTTTCCCAATTTCCTTTGCTTGAGTCATATGGACAAGCTGCTCAACGTCCAAGTTTCATTTGGTCAAAAAAAAATTATTTAAATACATTATTGAACCTTGGAACAGGTTTTTAAAGGGTCTAAAATTTTAAAGCTGAATAAAACCTCCAGATCGCCTCCAAATTGGCTGAAATTTACTCATTTTTCAAGAGCATCTCTAGTGTTTTCCTGCCTCCACATGAGCCTATTTTGACCTCAAAAGCAAGACATTTTTCTTCTAGCAGCATATAAAATAACGTGTGTATCACACAGACCAGTTATGAAAATAATTTGATGGCATTATTTATTCAAAGTTTTGAATTGTTTGGATCAATATACTCCTTTGGGCTTTGCAACACGAAAATTGACATTTCAAATTATTTTTCTGAAATTTTAAAAACCACAAAAAAATTTCAATTTTAGGTCCAAAATAAAAAAAAAATTGCGAATTTTTCAAATCACTCTGCCAATCTTTCTAGACATTTTATAAAAAAAATTATTTTTTTTGAATCTATTTTGAAAAATTTATTAAAATTATCTATTTTGAAAAAAAACGGTTTACGGAAGTTCCTGGCTGCACAACATCTAAATTGCATTTGGTCTAAAAAATATATATTTGAATGAATTATGAAGAAATCTAGAAAAATCTTGAACAAGCCTTTAAGAGTTCTGAAACTTCTGGCCTCTTTAGGTTTAAGTCCGCCAAATCGTCTGCAAATTGGCTCAAATTTACCCAAAACGTTGTTCAAGAGTATCGTTAGCGATTCCGTGCCACCAAATGAGCCTATTCTGGCGTCAAAGGCAAGAAACGTCTCATTTTTTGTATAAAGTAACGTGTGTATCATACACAGACCCGTTATGAAAAGGTCTTGTAAATCTGTTATTTATCAATTTTTTTACCGACTTTTTGCGAAAATTGAATCTTATGCTTTGCAGAATTAAAATTGACATTTTAGATATTTTTTTGTAAATTTTGAAAATTCCAAGAAATTTTCAATATTAGGTCCAAAATGGACATTGATGAGATTTACTTCATACGTCGACATTTAAATAGCCAGAATTTTGCCTGCACTTTTTGAAAAGATCCAAATATCCATCCAATAAAAAATGAATACCCAAATTAAACAAAACTAACATAAATAGCTACAAAATGCGCCTGAGGAAAACATAGCAGGGAAACAAAAAAAAACTTGTCACAGTGCAAACTTCCATTGTATTATTTCTTTTTCAAAAAACAGCTTTTCTCAAGTAATTTTACTTTGAAAAAATGCTACCTAAAGAAGCGTGCGATATTAATTTTCATTAAAATGTAATGCACATATCTCAGTTAGCCGAAAAAAGCTTTCATGAAACACTCGCTCTATACAGCCCCTATGCGAGGTGAGCACATTTGGCCCCAAAATATTTCCACGACAAATATACCTAATTTTGTCTAGTTGCGCCTCGAGCAGTAGCGAAAAGGTTGTTCTACTTTGCAGCGATTATATGTTGCCGCAATCTCTTGAGTGCATGTTTTCAAACTAACGAAGCAGTTGGGGCTTTTAATTCGGCCATGTATGTACGCGCCTCAATATGGGGCTTAAGTGTTGCCGTGTACTTTCCATGCTATATGTAATTTCGACGAGCCGAGTTCATGTTCAAGTGGTTTCAGTCAGTCTATTGACTAGATAATGGATCTAAATATTCCAGAATAATGTCTATTTTAGGATTTATTGGTCAATAAATTGCGGCAGTTATTCAAGGCCATCGACTTTACACTTGGATGTTGCGCCCACAATAAAGATGTATGAATCAGATCATGAGCCGAGATCCAAATTCTTTGCTTTTGCCTCCAAGGAAACAACAAATAACCCCTAAAATACCCAGCAAGAACTGTTGTTTTTGCCCTCACGAGATTGATTGAAACATATAAATTTAAATGATAGCTTGGAAAAAATTCACACAAACCACATTCGCCAAAAAATCAAATCAATAATTTAAATATTTTTTCTTCAGTCGGCGAATTGTAACAAGGTGATAAAATATATAAACGCGGTAATAACATTAAATTTCCGTCTCAATTGGAAAACTATTAATTAATGATGTCATCAAGGATCAAGATAGTAAGCCGAATGATACTCGTAAGTGTAGTTTGCGATTCAACCGCCAGAGAGCGCCTAAGCTGTTGAATTCGGGAGGACATTTAACGCTGCGTGTCCAGTCCAGCGCCCTCTGTGGTCTGTGATCGGGAGTAGGCGATAAAACTCTAGCGTTATTGTAGAGCACGTGTTTTTACATAGATTGTATACTAGAGGAGAGCACAAACCTTGCCTTTATATATCTATGGAGGAGATTTTTACAAATGCCCCAGGGTTTCAAAAACTTTGGAATTTCGCAATGAACATTTCTAGTTACTCCTGTTTCTTCACAAAAAGAACAGAATTCCTCAAATAACCTCAAAATCAACCTAGCCTACTGATTGACACATGTCAACGGTTCAAGTGGCAAAATATATGTGAGAAAACCCTTTAGATACCGTGTCTTAACGCCCCATTGTTCCAGGGAAAATTGGTCATTTTTAGTGTTTACTTACAGATAAGAGTGAAATAACTGGCTGAATAGTTTGGTGTTTTCCTGAAACCCATTTAGCCAAGTTAGGTTATGTGTATCAGCCTCATGCGAGCATTTTTGTTAAGAATTTGTTAATTATTTCCACCGATAATGGGTGATAACAGTACGGCCACTATCATTAATGAGATCACCAACTTGACCAGAAGCTGGGAGGAAGAACACCTGCAGCCTAATTATGATCCTGCGCCAACCCTTACTAGGTAAGTTCAAGGGCCCCTTTAGTTTGTTTTGCAATATGATGCAATAAGATTATCCCATATGTTTTCAGACTGGCTGAAATAATCGAAGTGGAGACGGAAAACTACTTGAAAATGGACCCGGACCCTTTCGACGAACGACACCCATCTCGCACTGATCCCGACTGCAAGCTCGGACAAATCCTGAAATTGCTGTTCCGGAAGGACAATTTCATGTGCAAAGTGTGTAGCTCCTAGTCTTCAATATTGCTCAACTAAAGATATACTCTTTCAGCTGTTAAACGAATACCTGAAAGACACTTACTACAGCAGAAATAGCATTACTGATAGGGACATTGACCAGCTGAATATTGCCGCCTGCAGATTGCTGCTGGATCTTATGCCAGGCCTGGAAACTTCCATCGTTTTCCAAGTATGTTCTCAAGCCCAAGCAGATGGAGAACTGGAAATAATCAACCTCGCACACTTTTTAGGACATGGAGACTCTGATTCACCGACTAATCAAGTGGACAACTAAATCTATTGAGCCGCTCCAAAGCTACGCAACTGGCGCTTTGGCAGCTGCAATGGACATTCCCGAAATTGCTGCCAAGTTCCGTGAAGAAAACAGCCATCTAGTGCCCTTGTTGTTGCAGAGATTGAAGAGACTGAAAAATTCCTCGGAGTTCATCAACAATGCTGCCATTTTCTCCAGGCCGTTTGCTCACCTTTCTTCCATGAAATCGCCGCCCTATCGCGGCGATGGCATTATTAAACTGAACTCCATCTTGGGTTAGTTGCATTTGGTGGGTTTACTGGGGAAACTTTGCTTAATATTCGGTTTTCAGATAACGGATTGCTGCAGGATACCGGCGAAATTACGCAGGAAAGTCCCAGTCCCTTGGCTGAGGTAAGATGGGAAAGTCCTCGTTGGTTTTTAGTGCAATGCCAATGTGTTTTTTATTTTAGCCCATAGAGGAAAGTGCAATCAAACGCAAGCGGAATAATGACCACCATTTTATGAGCCCCCAGGTAATAGCATATAGGTTGACCCAAGCTTATTGGCAGTGACGCAATAATGGTCATTTTTCTATTACTGTTCCACGGAAAGAGTCGGAAATTTGATGTCGTTTCACAGAAATTTCAAGAGTACCATCAGGGGGTCACAGCGCGGTCCGAGTCGCCTTTTAAATTGCTATTTATTGGCGAGTTTAGACAGTGTTTGAGAATTTGTCTCCAAGTCATTGCAATCGATCCATACATCGCGAAAAAACGCGTAAAGTCATTTTCGTTACAAACATGTTTCCGTTTTTAAGCACATTTTTCTCACTCGCTTTGCATTTTCCAGGTTAGTACGATATAGAAGAGACTCCTTTAATGTACTTTACACGTAAACGGTTTCGGTCGTGCGTTCCGAGAGTCGCAGCTGATGCGATTCAACTGATCGACGTACCAAATGACTCGTTTAGCGAATGAGGATGACAATTTCATTAAAGACGTCCGAAAACACCCATCGATTTATGATTACGAAGATGAAAATTATAAAATGTTTGCAGTAAAAGAAAATGGATAGAGAGAAAATAGCCCTATGAATGGAAAAATAGCGTAACTAAATCGAATTAGGATTTTTTTTTTTAAAGGAATTGTACTCATTTTCCTCCTCTTCTAGCAAAATAAGGGTTAAAATTTCAACATCGTCACTCTTTTAAACAGGGTTTTCGCAAATGTACCTCGCGAATTGATCTTTTGAACTGATCTGTTACGACTTTTATCACCCAATACACGCTGCGATTGCGACTGGCCAAACGCAGCGCCGAGTCGCAATCGCCGATCGCACCACCGAAACCGTTTCTTAAGAAGAAATTTGCAATTTTGGTGTTTGATTAGTATTTTTACTTTAATTAGAGTACAAAAACTTAAAATGCCAGCTGATGTTTAAAAGAAAGGATTGTTCTTACGCGCAAACCGATCCGCTAGAGACGCCCAGTTTTTCTTCTAGGGAAATAACAAACTAGAAATTCAACAGGTTTTTACTTTATTTAGTCAAACAATCTGGGTCTCGTTCTTTCTACACGTTTGGCAAGTTTTTTCTTGGTGGTAGAACCGGTAGGTTGTCGTAAAAGTGTACAGTTTCACAATCACAATTTTTTTAAGCTTCTGTAGGTCCTGGTGCTTTTTTCCCGTTATGGGAACTTTACAAATAAAATTATAAAAAAATTACTTGACATTTGTTTAAAAGTTTCCTGAACATTAAAACTTGGCAAAACAAGCTCTTGGTAGGTGTTCAAATTCAGTTTCTCGTAATGGAGGTTCTCGAATGACTGAAGTTCGGATTAGAAGCGATGGAGGCGACTAAATTTCCATTTTAACTGTCGCAGTACCGTTTCATTCTTGGATGTTCTGCGGTTCCATTTCTCTAACAGGCCGTAATAAAAGGGGCATTTTATGATGGAGAGGCTTCCAAAACCACCCCAGTCTCTCACAGTAGTTTCGTGGATTTTTTGAACCCAGTCTTCTGGGTCCAACTCCTATTTTTATCGCACTCCATATAGGAATGTCCCCTGATAGAAAATTCTATTTTCGCGATATCAAGTCGGGTTCTTTCCGTAACTAAATGGTGAACGTACAGAAATGTTGTAAATTTTTTGTTCCGTCCAACACATGAGTCGCAAAAAACATAGAAGTTCCCAAACCTTTTCGGCGAGATGGAGGTGATCCAAAAATGAGCAGACTTCATTCGCTCCCTTTTTCGTACTTTCTTCAGAGTAAATGTAAAAACCGAGGCATTATCGGATGATTTATGAATGTTAAATAACATCATTGATTGAGAGATTAGGTATTGGTGTTTTTTTCTTTTCGGAAATATGTGGCGATTGCTTATGTATCCTGCATTTGTCTGCTTCGTGTTCGGGCGTTTCTCAATTTGCAGTAAACGAATCCCCCCTTTTTATAAATTGTGTTTAGTGTTTCACGATTTATTTATTATATGTATTACTGTTAAACCGTGCTCTAACAATAACAATTCAAAATTAATTCCTGGGTTTCAGTCATTTCTTGTCTCTATTTATCAATTAAAATACGTCCAAGACTTTCAAATATTTTATTTGATTCTGTCCGTTCCCAAAATTAAGTTCCCTTCTTCTCACCTGTATAAATTTTGGTGTGACTGCGGTTCTTGCATCTGGTCAAAAAGTTTTTCCGGTTCTTTTCTCTTGCCAGTCTTGCCTTCAGTTTTCCATATATTTTCCTTAAAACAACCTCCTCCACAGGATCCGCCATGCCATACTCCCAAGCATTATCCTTTATTATATATACTTTTCTGACTGTGTTTCAATTCCAATTCAAAATTAATTCCTGGGTTCTATTATTATTATTATATAAAAATTTATACAGGTGAGGAGAAGAGAATTTAATTTTGGGAACGGACAGAATCAAATAAAATATTTGAAAGTCTTGGACATATTTTAATTGATAAATAGAGACAATAAATGACTGAAACACAGTCAGGAAAGTATATCTGACAATAAGATCGGGTTGAACAAAAATTAATCTTTTCAAATTGCCGAGAAGAAACGTTCAAAAACCAGTCTCGCCATGAGGACAATTTCAATACGGAGTCTCAAATACTGAGGTCACTGCCCAATAGCTAGGGATAGACTAGATGTCGGTTGCTCTATTCAAAGTTCCATGTGGATCTTTTTTTATTCAGGTATCAGATACAGATATTCACTGGAGAAAGCGCCAGCGCTTGGATAACGAGTCCCCCGTGCGCCCAATCGCGAGCTCACCAGCTTCAAGCCCAATTGCCCGCCGAATTTCTACCGTTTTTGCCGCCGAATCGAGTAACTCTTCCTGGGCGGAACTGGAGACTTTCATGATAGGCACCGTGCAAATGTTTCCACCAACACTGGCCACGCGCCAGATCCTCATCCTGCGCTACCTCACACCCATCGGGGAATACCAGGAGTTCCTAAGCCATGCCTTTCACGAGAACACCGCGCTGGATCTGATCCTCACTTACGTGAACGTGCGAGCGACCAAAGAAGCCCGTTTAGCGTTCGAGGCGCTCAAATATTTAGCAGCTCTATTGTGCCACAAGAAGTTCTCCATCGAGTTCCTGCAACGCAACGGCCTGCAAGCTTTGCTTGACGTGCCGAAACCTTCTATCGCTGCCACTGGGGTGTCCATCTGCCTCTACTACTTGGGGTATTGCGAGGAAGCCATGGAACGGGTGTGTGTTCTACCCAAAGAAATCGTCAACAGTCTAGTGAGGTATGGGTGATGAATGTATTCAATTCA